TCGAAGCCCCGGCTGCCGCCCTCGCAGCTGCAGGCGGGGAAGGTCATGCAGCCCCCGCGCTGGGGGTCGAAGTGCCAGAGCACGAGGCCGGAGGGCGCGCTGCCGCAGGCCTGCGGGTCAGGCAGGCACTCGGCGGGGCCGGCGGGGGCACGCGCCCCGTCCCCGTCCCCGTCCCCAGCCGAGCCCCGCCGGAGCACAGACAGCGGGAAGTCGGCGCGCAGCAGGCCGGCGGCGTTGCGGGCGGTGCACGTGTAGAGGCCCGCGTCCTCCAAACGCGCGTTGTAAAGCACCAGCTGCCCGATGCTGGTGACCACCACGTTGCCGTACATCTGGTCCGGCCGCATGATCAGGGTCTCCCGCTGGTCGCTCTGCTTCTCCCAGGTCACGGCGGGCGGCGGGCGGCCGCCGACGTCGCAGTGCAGGCTGGCGGTGCCGCCCACGAACACGGCCTGCGGCGCGGGGCTGCTGTAGAGCGCGGGCGGCATGGGCGCGTGGCCGGGCGTGGGGCGGGCGGTGGGGTCGCGCGGCCCCGGGCTGGCGGGCGGCCAGCCGCGCATGCGCTTGCAGGGCACCACGTGCAGCCGCAGCCCGCGCCGGCAGGCCTCGGCGTCCATGTAGCAGCGGTTGTAGTAGGTGAGGCCGTCCGAGGCGCAGGTGAAGCTGGGCTCCCTCTCGCAGCGGTCGCGGCAGCGGCACGCCGGCTGCCCGTCCCATAGGTGGCAGGCGGAGCCCTGCTGAGGGCAGGGGAAGCCCTCGCACGAGGCGGGCGGCGGGGGCGCGGCCGGGCCGGCGGCGGGGAAGCGCGCAGCCACGCAGCTCTGCAGCCCGCACACGTTGGCGCAGCACTTCTCGTGGGGCGCACAGTCCTGGGGGGTGGGGAGCAGCTCAGCGGGCGCCCCCGCTCCGCCCGTCCACCGTGCAGGGGAGCTGAGCTGCCGCCGCCACTCCCCAGCCAGCCGCCCACCCCGCGGAAAGCTCGGCACGCGGCCGACGCGTCCTTCCCGTGCTCTGCACCCTCAGACTGTCCGCTGTGTCGCGTCATCGAAGCCCGCCGGATCCTCGGGTCCTCACCCCCCGGAGCGGGTGTCATGGCACCCAAGGAGACCAAGGCCCCGGGTGTTGGGGGGTGGGTGCGGCGGCACATGGACGACGTGTTCAAGGCCACTGCTGCAAGGGGGCGCTGCAGGGCAGATGTCCACGTGGGGCTCCCACCTTTCAACCTTGCTGGCCCTGAGAACAGCCGTTCCCAGGGTGGGGGTAGGCAGGTTTGGGGAGCGACACATGAAGGCAAAGACTGGGGGTGTTCCCTGGGACCCGCATATGCTGAACAGCCTAAAACCCCAGCTGCGGGACTATGGGGGGCCTGAGGAGGCAGCCGACTCCCAGGAATGGGGGCACAGGGCAGCTGCTGGGGTCTCCCTGCGGGCAAGGCCTGGGGTTCCCCTAGACTCATGAAGCCTCCGAGGTGCCCCGAGTCGCCCATGGTGTCCGACGCCCCTGCAGGGCTGCTGAGCACGGTGCCTGTGCTTACCTGGTCCCCGACGCACTCCCGCTCACAGGTGCTCTGGGCGTCCACCCACAGGCTGGGGCTGAGCTGGTTGGGGCACACGCCTAGATGGCTTCGGGGTCCCGGCGGCAGGCTGGCCCCCAGGGTCAGCCCGACCATGAGGAGCAGCAGTAGGAGTGGCCTCGGCGCCAGCATGGGGACCGCGGGCCAGGGGGTGGGGGATGTGACCACCAGTCCCTCCTCAGGCGCTGCCTAGCCTCCCGGATGAAGGCATCTACCTCTCTGGGCCTGTGGTTGCTGCCCCTGCCCTGGGGCCCTCGCCTGGTCCCCAGGGTTCTCCCCTTGGCCTCCAGGGTCCGAGCCCACAGCAGAGGCTTCGTCTCCCAGTGTGAGGGGCTGGGTAGGGGCTGGGTAGGTTCGCGGCCTCTCCCAGCTCCAAGTCTGTGTGTGTGGCGACGGCCCCTCCCCTGCCTGGCCCCTCTGTGGTCAGCACAGGGCAGGGGGTGGGGAGGGGAGGAGGGCTGGGGAGGGGCCGAGGCCCGGGAGCACGGAAGACACTGGCCACGAGGGTCACGGAGGGGCGGAGAAGGGCCAGAGAAGGGCCGGCTCAGTGGGGGAGGGGAAGGGAAGGGAGGGGAGGGGACTCTGTAATTGGAGCCCCTCCCCCCTCTAGGCCCTGGGCTGAGGATGGAAGGGCCAGGGGATCAAAGCTCCTCTCAGACCTTCCCAGTCCAGGTCAGAGGAGGGGGCTGGGCTGGCCAACCCCTGCTGGCTCCCCAACCTGCCCCAGCTGTTCCAGGGCCTGGATCTCCCCGAAAGCAGGTCCAGACCAGCCTGAGATTCATCATGTCCAGCAAGACAGAGGCCCAGGGGGTCTGTGTCGGCCCTGCAAGAAGCAGGCATTGTTCCCCTCAAGAAAAAAATCTCACAACCTTCTCCGGGATCCTTCTCAGGGTTACGACCTACCAACAGGTCTTGGGGTCACAATGAAACCCTTTCTGCTAGTGGGGAGGCCTCGGGTGACCCGCAGCTGATGAGGGAACTGAGGGTTAGGGGAGGCCGACACAAGGCAGGACTCTGCATTTCCAGAGCGGCACCCAGCATGGCTCCCGGTCCAGGCATGTCCCAAAGATGTGAAGTCCCAGGGTGCTCAGCAGGGAGGAAACCGCACTGGCCGGGACAGCCACCCGTCACACAGGCAGCAAACACCGGAGATGGCGCTGGTGGGACCAAGGACCTGTGGTTTACTCGGCCCGACTGAATTTCGGTAGCTGAAGCCCCACGCCACACAGCGCTGAGAGGCCAAGGTCATCTAAACAGCACCCTGGGCAAGCCCTGGGAGGAGCCCGCCCTGAGCCGGGGTGGGGATGGAAGCCCCCCTTGGCAGGGCAGGCAGGAGGTCTAAGGCAGCAGCAGGACTAAGCCCCGGGATCTGCCCTTCCACACCCTTCCCAGGGGCCTGGGGCCGGAGGAGCATCTGCTCTGCGACCAACACGTCCCAGGGTCCTGCATCTGACCTTCTGACCTGGGAAGCAGGGTAGTAAAAGCCGAGTGTGGTGAGAGTGGGACCAAGAGATGTCCCGGATACAGAGGACACATACCAAGGGGCCGGGGGCACGGTGGGTTCCAGATCCAGGACAGTCCCTCAGAGCTGCCCAGAGGCCTGGGCTCCGGAGTGTGGGCGGGGCGTGGGGGTGGAAAGGCTCCTTCAGAAGGGTTCCTCAGCCCTCAGCACCCACCATACCCCAAGGACTGAGCCTCGCACACCCCGTCAGCGGGCGGCTTTCCCACCCCAGGCCCAGGTCTGGGCCCGGGAGGCTGTGCTGAGTCTCGGCAGGCAGCAACCCCCAAGTCCTCTGTGCCCACCACCTTGTGGCAGCAGAACCAACTTCGCAATTAGGCCCCACCTCCACAATCCGGGGTGGGGGGGCTCGGGCATCCCAGGTGCCCCCTCCAGAGTGCAGAGGACTGCCTGTCTGGCTCCCCAAGAACTATGCAGCCTGGGCTTGCCTGCACAGCCCAGACTGGGAGCAGCCGGTGAGGCCAGGCCCCGGAGGCAGGGGTCCCCACGTCACCTCCACCAGCCACTTGGCCAGTTAAATCCAGGGGCGCTCACGGACAGAAAATGCAACCTACAGGCCGAGCTGAATTACATTTACTGTACAAAGAAAGGAAAACCGTCCAAAACGAGCCCAAGAATGGTGTGTCAGACAGCAGCAAAGGGTAGTGTTGATAAAGTGAACAAAGGACTGTCCACGTCCTCAAAACAAAGTCTGTGTGACTGGGTTCAAAGTCCAAAGAAAGGGGTGCCCCCCACACAGGCGAGACAGGATAGGTGTGGCCTCCCCTGCCTGACCCTGCTAAAGCCAGGCCTCATTGGGGACCCCCAGTGCACAGGCCACGGCCCCCATCCTGCCTCCCAGACACGCAGCACAGAAGAGTCCCAGAGCCCAGGGCGGGGCTGTGAGGACGAGGTAGAGCTGAGCACCAGTGTGACCGGTGGCCATGTCGCCAAGCGGGCAGCAGGAGGGAGCCAGGCCTCCTGCTCAGGGCTGGCTGGTGGGGTCTCCAGGAGCGGCTCGGGGTCCACTGCCGGGATCAGTCCTGGCAGCATCACGAAGAGATGTGTCAGACCGGTTTTAGTGACGTGTGACGCCAGGCAAGGAGCAACTGTGGGCTCACACCCAAGGCTGGCCGAGGGCAGCTGGCGAGAGCAGAGTCCGGGTGCCCCAGGGGACGAGCAGGCGGGTTGGTGTACACAAGCACAGCACCCCGCAGCCCCACTGTCTTCTGCGTCTTCTCCTCCAAGGGGACAGGAGTGTCACGGGAATGGGGGTGCAGAGCCCCACCCACCCCCTCTGAGAAACACCAGCAGTCCTACTGGGAAACCAAGCCCTCACCCAGCCCTGAGCCCGTCCACGACGCGCAGGACGGTGTCTAGGGGGGCTGGCGGGAGCCCAGGAAGCTGCAGCCATACCCAGCCAACCACTGGGGCCATAACCGCCACCAGCCATGCTGGGGTGCACCCCAGCCCCCATGCTCTCAAAGGCTGGCGGAGGCAGCCATGGGCCCAAGCACACAGCCCGAGCTTCCACGTGCCCACCCTGCACCCCTCCCGCCCAGCCCACACACCCCGCGTGAATTGTCTGTGAATTCCAAGGTTGGAGCCCTGACCAGGACTCCTCTCTACCTCTGCCTCAAACCCCCTCCCTGTCCACATGTCCCAAAGCCTGCCCCGACCCCACCGCCGACAGGACTCCCCATGCAGCCGCGTGGAGGCCGCCCTACCTGCGTGTTACAAATGTACAAAAAGGTGAACATCTTCCATATAAAGAAGGACGGGCGCCAGGCTCCCGGGTCCTCAGGCAGCCCCCTGGAGGCTGGGGTCGGGCAGGGCTGCCCCCGGGATGCCTCCCAGCCACACCGCACCGTGGGGCCCCGTGGAACCTGTCTGGCTGCGACCACCGGCTGCACTGTGCACCCCCACGCTCCGCGGGAGGCGGCGTGGCCACAGCCCTCCCTGACACGGCGCCCGGCCCGGCGCCCAGCCAGACGCGATCCCCAAGCGCGAGCCCTCGCAGAGCGCACCGGACGGCGGGCACCCAGCCTGCCCGCTACGAGATCTTGCAGTTGCTCCTGGAGCAGTTCTGGGGCGGGCTCTGGGGCGGGCGGATGGACTTGGACCTCTTGAGGCTGTTGCCCTTGCTGCTGCCGCCTGCCCCGCTGGCCAGCGAGTAGGAGCGGCCGTGCATCATGACGGCGTTCATGCCATTGGCCATGGAGAAGGACTTGAGGTGGCTCTTGATGGTGACCGGCAATGGGAGCTTGTCGATGAGGTGCACGGGGGTACAGGACACAATGGCCCGACAGCAGAGGTCCTGCAGGCTGAACACTGCACGTGGGGGTCAGACCGCGGTGGGGAGAAGGGAGGTCAGATGGCAGGGAGTGCAGAGGTCTGCCAAGCCCTTGGGGTTCCCCTGCCCTGCACCCTGGACGCCCAGCATGCCACCCCAGTCGCCAGTGCCCTGGCAGGAGACGGAGGCTTCTGACCACCCCGGCCCTTCCGGCAGCTCCGGTGGGACGGGGCTCAGGCCGAGGGACAGGGAAGCACACCGCCACGACCATTAGGGGTCGGCTCTAGGGGGCAGGCTCCGAAGACACACTCTTTTCGCTCTGGGACAGGGCCCACGGCACGGCCTCCCAACCCCCAGGTGCAGATAGGGCATCCTGCACGGTCCCCTCCTGGAACACCAGGACCCCACACAGAGCTGGCTCAGCCGCCCAGGCACTGGGAAAGCCGCGGAGGAGACCTGGCCTCCCCTGCGACCCAGGAGGCGGGCCCCTGAGCAGGCAGCTGGAGGCCCAGTCTGTTTCCACTTTCTGGCCCGCAGCCCTGACAGCCCCTTACCTCGGTTGGGCCTCCAGATCTTCTCCATGCCATGCCTCATGAGCACGATGCGGGACAGCTCGGTGAAGGACTCGATGACATTGAAATTGCACAGTGGACTGACCTCAAAGAAGGTCATGCCATTCTTCTCTGCGTAGGCACGCGCCTGCTCTGTTGGGACTTGCCGCTTAAAGGCCAGGTGCAGCCGGTTCCCAACCAGGATCCGGGGAACCCCAGGCGCATGCTTGGGGGGGGACACAGGACTCAGCAGAGGCACGACACAGGACACCCCCCCTTGGCCCTGTCTCCCAGGCCCCAAAGTGGGCAGGGCCCTCACTGTTCTGTGGCCATCCAGTGCTATGGGGACACAGAGCTGGGCCCTCCAAGCTTCCTGCTGGGGAGGGTAGCGTGTACACCTGGGAAGGGCGACCCTGAAGGGCCCTGTGCGGGCGCACGCCTACCTCATCGATCTCCTTGATCCACCGGTCTATGCCGTCAAAGGACCAGCGATTGGTGATGTCATACACTAGGAGGATGCCCTGCAAGGGAGACGCAGGCGTCAAGAGGCCAGGGGCCGCCTGGATGGAAGAGGTCCTGCTCCAGACACAGTGTGGCCCGGTGCAGCCAAGCGCCGCTCCCTCCCAACACAGGGGACACTTGGTTCCGGCCACCGGCTTTCAAGCCGACTGTGTGGGTCACTTGAGGGAAATCTTGCCATGAGATCCCGCCACGTTTCCAAGGCACAGCTGGTATGAGCTCTGCACGCAGACTCTGGCCAGCTCTGCACCCGTCTCCTCGCTGAGGCCAGGCTGCGGGCACGGACAGCCTGCATGTGGGGCCGTGGCAAAGCGGAGCTCTGGGGCTCAGTGCCCCCCCCATCTTGGGCACTTGGCTAGGACAAAAGGCATTTTTTCAACTTTTCTGTTCCAGACACACTGTAAGCATCAACCTGTGATCGTTTAGAAATCACTCAAGTGGGACCGGCAGTCCGTGCGGGTCTACAGGTGCGGCAGGCAGACGGCAGCTGGGTCCCCGACACGCCATCCCACTGTGTGCTGGCTCTGGCTGGGGCACCAGGGCGCTGAGCAGAGGGGGCTCTGCGCTCCAACCCAAGCTTGTGGAGCAGGACGCCAGTCACTGCAGCAGGCCCCCACCAGCCGGGCCGGTGATTTGCTACACGGATTGTCCTGTCACATCCCTCAGAGACCCATCAGCCGGAGCTCAGGTCTGGGCTGTGTGCCCCTGCATGGCTCGCCCGGCATGCCTGCCCTGGATGTCTCAGGGACCTATCACAAGCCTCGGAATGGCAACGGCACTGAGCGAGGGCAGCCGCCAGCCCCTGCCTGTCTCTGCCCTCGGGGCGCCATGCCCAAGCAGGCCCAGGACCCACCCCGTCCCGCCCCAGCAAGGCTCTGTTCAGCCTGTGCCCCCATCACACACAAGACCGTGCCGCTGAGATCAAAGAAACAAGGCACCCTCCACCTCAAATGAGCCTTTCCTCTCAAATCTGTCCTCCCAGTTCTGGAAGACAAGTATAGCTCTGAGGTCTTGTAAGCACAGAGGTCAAAATCCCCCTCTCTGGCTGGAAAGCCTCAAGCAGGGCAGCACAGAGCCACCTGCCCACCAGGGAGGGACGACCGGGGAGGGACAATCGCTGGGGAGGGAGAGCCTTCAGGGCCGATGGCCAAAACCCACATAAAGTCAAGGGCTAAGACACACATTTCGGGGGCACTGGAGTCAGACTGGACAGGTCCCGAGAGCAGCTGGGTGTGAACCCTGCCGTCTGGGGCGCAGGGAACAACGCCTCCAGCTGGAGTGCAGTGAGGGCACGCCACTAACCCTCCAACCTGGAACAGCCCTTCTAGAAATAACCGAGGAGGTTCCCATCAGAACTGTGCTTCTGTGGGCCGCCTGGGTGGCTCAGTGGGTTAAAGCCTCTGCCTTTGGCTCGGGTCATGATCCCAGAGTCCTGGGATCGAACCCCACGTCGGGCTCCCTCGTCAGCAGGAGCCTGCCTCTCCCTCTCCCACTGCCCCTGCTTGTGTTCACTCTCTCGCCATCTCTCTGTCAAATAAATAAACATTTAAATTAAAAAAAAAAAAAGAAAGAACTGTGCCTCCACGTCCCAGGACTGCAAAGGAAGTCGAGCTACAGACATGGCACAGCGATGACCCCCCGCAGACCCTGAGAGACACCAACACACGACGACGCACGGAGGAAAGCTTCCGTGCACAACCACACGCTGGAAGACCGGGCAGTGTCTGTTCTGGCTCCTGCTCCCCTGTGTGAGGCTGAAAGGCTCCCGCAAGCGGACAGAAGCTCCTTCCTCGGGCCCAGGCATCTGCCGTACCCCTCGGCCGTGGGAGAATCCCTGGCTGCCCCTCCCAGCTGGCACCAACCTTCAACGACCACCCCCTTCTGGGCCGGCCCCAGTCTGACAGCTTGGGGTCTGACAGAGGCGATACTCATGCACACCCGTCATGGGGAGGAAGGACACACAGAGGGTCACACTGTAGGCACAGGGACCAAAAAATATCACGGATGCGGCAGGGAAGGACAGGTGGAGGTGGAGTCAGGCACAGGCAAGGTTCCCGGTGACCAGGATACCCCTCAGGGTTCCAGTGTCGGCCGTACGGCCCGAGGGAGGAGGGGCAAGTAAACTGCCACTAGATTCTGTCCTTGTCATCAGTGAAACTCACACGTGCCCAGACTTTCTAAATGAGTGGGTGCCCCAGGACATCAACAGAATTCCTCCCCACCCGTCCAAGAATGACCAGTTCCCGTCTCATTCCTGACACGGACAGGGTCCCAGTGCACCCTGCCTGGCCCCCACCCGGCGCCCCTGCCCCGCAGCGGCCAGCACCCCACGCCAGGCTCATGCGGCAGGACCACTGCTGGCACTCAGGTCATTTCTCCCACGAAAAGAGCCCCCAGGCCCTGGTCGGTAAAATCCCTACAAGAGGGACTGCGGGCCCAGGGGTTGGTGCCCTTGTTCTATGCAAGTTATTTCCACCGACTTAGGAGAGCACGTGCGGCGGGGGCAGAGGGAGAGAACCTCCAGCAGACGTCCCACTGAGTGTGGGGCCCAATGTGGGGCTTGATCTCATGACCCTGAGCTCATGACCTGGGCTGAAACCAAGAGTCCGACACAGAACTGACTGAGCCCCCCAGGCACCCCCAGGTCGTTCCTTCTGAGCCACAGCCTGTCCCTCAGAGGAGGCGCGGATCTGGAGTACGAACAGTCTGGTGAGTTTGGACAAACGAACGTGCCTGTGCCGGCGGCACCCCAACCCAGGTGCAGAAGGCATCTCCAGGAACGTAACTGCCGGCACGTGTAACACACTTTGTCTAGTCCAGCTCCCAGGGAACAGCCGTGAGGGACAGCCGCTCCTACACTCCACAAGAAGCACTGACAGTGGGAGCAGCTATCAAACAGCACCCACGTGCCAACCTACCTGGGAAGGGACAGGTGGCAAGCCCGTGCCCCCAGCAGCACTCCGTCCACAGTACCTGTGAGCCCTAGACCGTTTTCCACAGGAAACCCCTTTTCATGGAAATGGACTGAACCTTCTCTAACCAGACCAGTGCCCATCCAGCTCAGCCCAAAGCCTCCCCGAAACAGAACCTCCCCCTCCCCCAGCTCCCTCCTTGCACTGAGCCCAGGGGACCCCAATGGGCAATGCCAGCCTCCCAGGGCCGTGAGTGGCCACCTCAGACCCCAGCAACAGCAAGCATGGGCCACGGAAGAAAGCACCCATGGCAAGGGCCCCAAGATAGCCGTTGCAGGGCAGGTGACAGCAGTCAGGAGCTGGCCAGGGGCTTCTGGGACCAGGGCCCTCGGGGACCTGCAAGGCCTCTCTCTGTCTTCAGTGAGGGTAGGAGAGTGACAAGAAGCTCAAGGAGAGGCCCCAGCTCTCTGGGTACCGTCCACTGCACACCCAGGTAGGGCCCCCTGCAGACCCCTGCACCTGTTCACTGCCAGAACCCGGTGGGACGAGAATACAACAGGCGCTCACGGCCACCACCCACCTCCGGGCCAGAGATCTGCCATGGGCTCCTCCGGCCCCAGAACCATGAGAACCCCCAGAACCAGCAGAGCCAAAGCAGAACTCGGGCTGATACTCTAGAGAGAACAGATGCGGTAACGCGTGATCTGGCAACCGTGCCGTCTCCTGCTTCCTCCCGCGGCGCTCAGAAGTGCGAGTCTGTGGTCAGCCCCAGGCTGACACTCGGCTGAGGCCAGGGGCGCAGTACCACACCGGAGGGGGCTGGCCCCAGCTCTTCACTTTCCTTCCGATGACAAAAGTAACGTGTTTAGTGCAGTAAAACCAACAAATATTCAAACGCGAGAGGAGCACAGCTGAGCTCCCAGAAGCCACAGGTGCACGACAAGGACCGCCACTGTTCACGTCTCGTCTCACGTGTGTAAAATCGCACGCGCAGTCCCCTCCTTAAGGAAGATGGGCCCGGGCACTGTGCTTCTGTGTGCCTCAGCTCTCCCCACACTCGCCTGAAAGGCTGTTCCTGCTACTTTACCTCAGCCCCGGTGCCACCGGGCACATTGACAGGCGCCCCAAGCTGCACCCCTGACCCCGAGGTCCTACCGTATTCCGTCACAGAGGAGCGGCTGCTCCCGGAGGAGCCGCCAGTGACGCACCTGCCCTGCAGGGCGCCCCCCACACTGGCGGGGGAGACTTTGGACAGGGGACATCACCAAGCCAGCGGTACGGCTCACACTTCCGGGCCAGCTCCCAGGACAGGAGCCCGCAAGCCCGGCCTGGGGCTCTTCCACCCGCTCCGCACGCTGGAGAGACTCCCCCTGGAGAAGGGATGGGTCGTCTGCTCCTGTCAACACCTACTCAGACTCGGTCAGACTATCACGGACCAAGTGTCCCTCTGGCTTCCCAGGCCCCATAGAGCAGAAAGAGGGGCACGGGGCGGGGGGTGGGGGCGCGCTGGACATTCATCACTGCTCACAAAGCAAAACAGATCCCCATGGGGCTCCCCTCCCAGCCCCAGCCAGAGTGTGTGCGGGGTACCAGGCAGCCCCCTGCAGCCCACACCCCACACAGCCAGGGGCCCCGGCCTGCCGTGCACAGCAGGTCCGACGTCAGGGGTCTCCTTGGCAATTCCAAACCCTGGGGGGGTCACGGCCTGCCCTGCAGCACAAACAAGACTGCTCCTGCGTCCACACCACTCAAAAATGACACGGCAGTGAGCACCTAGAGATGTGAGCACACAGCCACCTTCCTTTCTCTTCCTAGCCTCGAACCACACACATCCAGCCGGCATGCGAGCATGCTGGAGGGAGTCCAGAGGACACAGAAAGGGGTGGGGGGTGTCCATGCCTGTGCACACTGCACAGCCCTGCCCCGCTGAGGACCCGCGGCAGCCCCTTCCATGGTGGCTCCAAGGCTCAAGCCCTGCCATCCTAGTCCGCGGTCCAGGCCGGCCCACCCTGGAGCCACCAGGCAGCCCCTCCATCAGCACATCCCAGTCCTGGGACTCAGAAGTCACCTCTTCTTCCCAGGGAACCGGGTGACTGAGCGGCATGTCCGAGGGTCTTGGCACCCGTTCTCTGGTGCCTCCTGCAGCAGGAGCCACAGGAGCCGATGGCCACACAGGGTACCCAAGCTTAGACTTCCAGTAGGGTCTGACAGCACGGCTGCAGGGGGTCACCCCAGGTCACGGCATCACACGGTCGCTAGGCTTACCTGTGCGCCCCTCGAGTAGGACCTGAAGATGGTGCAGAACCTGCCTTGGCCGGAAGTGTCCCTGAAACACAGAGGGGTTGGGGGACGCGGCCCGTGGGACCCCAGCATGCCCAGTGTCCTCCCTGCGAGGCACCCACCCCCCAGCCCTTCCACAGCGCACCCTGGTGGACCTCCGTGGGTCTGTCTCAGAACCTTGCCCTGTGGGGCTGGGCAACCCTACCCTGCGAGAATTCCCGCCTCCCTCGGAGGTTCCGGAAAGTGCTTGCTCTGGAGCCCAGTGAAGGGGAAGGGTAGAGGGCCGTGGTCATGGTGGAGATGACGTTTATGGGCCAGAGTCAGACCATGCAGCCCAGACTCCTGGTTTCTGCATCAGAGTCCGTTCCACGGGCACCCAGGGTCTGGGCAAATGGCTGCTCCCATCAACAGGACTCCTGACTCCCCTTGGGCATCATGCAGGGACCCTGGGACGCTGCAGTCCCTGCCCCGGCACCTCACCCCACAGGGCCTGACTCACCAAAGCTCCAGCTTCACCCGCCGTCCGTCCAGCAGGATGGTGGTCGTCTTGTAGTCTATTCCTGGAAGGAAGCAGAAGGCAGCTGCAGGCAACGCATGGGGACAGGGCCATGAGCCTGTCCAGGGCCAAGGGCCGTGTCCACCCCCCCACCCTGACCCTTCCTGTGGCTTCAGCCCAGCAACTCAAGCGGGCCACCCCGGTGTGGCCCCAAGAGCCTGTGCTGGGTGCTGACAGACGTGGTGCAGAGGGAGAGAGGTTCATCTCCGTGCTGACCTACATCGTGCGGGTCCTGACACCAACCTCCCAGAAGCTCAGCGTGTCTGGGTTCTTGGGTTCACCGCAGCCCCCGGATACTGACAACTGGAGCGTGCCAGGAGCACGAGGAAGGGCCAAGTAATCTCTAAATGCCGTCTCGGGAGCGCTCTCTGCAGAAGCCACACCTACCCTAGCTCCAGGTTTTATTTTTTTACTCCTTTACAGGACGAGGTCAGTCCACGAGAAGATGGTAGGAGTAGGGACGCTTCGCTGACGTGCAACATCTTCAAGTGGTCTGTGGGCCACCCAGAGACTTCCCACAAGCTGTGTCTTCCCTCCCCTACTCCTAAGCCTTGGAGAAGATCATCAGCTTCCTGGCTTTTTCTAACACTTGCCCCAGGAGGGCTTGAGAATGGGCTTTTGTTTTAGGTTTCTTTTTTATTTTAAGATTTTATGTATTTGAGAGAGTGAGAGCGTCAGCAGAGGGAGGGACAGGCAGAGGGAGGGAGAATCCCAAGCAGGCTCTGCACTGACGTGGAGCCCGACGCAGGGCTCGATCTCATGACCCTGAGATCAGGACCTGAGTCGGAACCAAGAGTCAGACACTCACCTGATGGGGCCATCCAGGCACCCGTGGTTTTTTGTGTGTTTCTTAAAAACGTTACGTATGTCTGCATGCATTTGAGAGCCAGAGCAAGAGCAGCAGCGCAGGGAGAGGGAGACGCAGACGCCCGCCGAGCAGAGAGCCAGCCGCGGGCTCCGTCCCACAGTCAGCCCTGAGATCCAGAGTCACGTTCTCCCTGACCGAACCAGCCAGGCGCCCTCTAAATGGGCATTTTCAATGCAGGTGTCGTTCACACACACACCGTGTGCCCCCAGCACCCCCTGGCTGTCCTTCTGCCAACAGCCAGCTGCGCGTGAAAACCCGGCTCCCGTGCGTGAGAGGACACTGAGGGCGTGAGAACGGAACCGACGGCGCGGGAGAAAGCGTATCCGATAAAGGGCTGCTATCCGTAACACAGAAAAAAATGCCACGACTCAGCACCAAAACCCACCCAATTAAAAAATGGGCAAAAGACATGAACAGACATTTCTCCAAAGAGGATACACACGCGGCCAATTCGCACGTGGAAAGGTGCTCAACCCCTCATACTGGGGACCGCCCCGGTGAGAGGCCACCGAGCTCTGTTTAGTTATTATAAGAAAAACAAACAGAAAATCACAGGTGCTGGCAAGGGGGTGCGGAAGGGGGCGGCCACATGGAAAACGGCCTGGTGGCCCCAGGTTGCTGGGGCACAGAGCTGCGGGTCCACACCCGCACTGCCCGCAGCACCACTCACAACCGCTGAGAGGTGGGAACAGCTCGTGTGTACATCAGCGGGGTCTGTCTGTGCACCGGACTACCAGCCTGAACGGGGCGGACCCGCCGGCGCGGGCTCCACCGGGGGTGGGGGCACCCTCGAGGGCAGTCAGACAAGCCTGCCGCAGGGAGACACACTCGGCGGGCTTCCCCGTGCCCAGGCCCCTCCCGCAGCCAGATCCCCTCCACCACGGTCGGTCGGGTCGGTCCGTGGAGGTCCCCAGGGGCGGGGGCTGGTGGGGCGTCGGCAGTTCCTAGGCACGAGCTTTGGTTTGGGAAAATGGAAAAGCCCAGTGGACGGACAGTGGTCGTGGTCCCACGGCAGCGGGAACACGCTGCGTGCTATTTGGAGCTGTGCAAAACCCCCAAAGAGGGAGAATCTTCCATGGCCCCACGAGGCCTCCCCTACGTTCTGTGGCCATCCTAGACACAAAAACCAGAGGCAAAAGCCTGAGCTTCCGCCTCACGCTTGCCCTAATTTCAGATGGCGAGGAGCTCGCCTCGGGGTCTGCAGATCGGGCCTGCCCCACCCTCGGAGGTGGCAGGGTGCCGTACCCCCCAAGCCCTGCCAGGAGCGGCCCCCATGGACGGCTGAGCAGCCCGTGCGAGGGGACTGAGGAGAGAGGACAGCGGGGCCCAGCTGCGGGCCGAGAGCCCGGACAGGGCGGAGCGCCCCAGGTGGACAGGTTCACGGGACACCAAAATGTCAGATACCCTCATGCCCACCCTGCCCCTCATCCCCACCCCCAGATCCACACAAAAACGTACAGGGCACTTTATAAAGTCTTCGAATACACAGACCAACAGGTCCAAAGAGAGGCCGTGCCCTCAGCAAGGACGGGGCCGACTGAACGTCCCTGCTCTGCCGGCGCCGGCGAGCCCCAGTCTCGAGTCTGCTGCAGAATGGCTGTCACCCCACAGTCCGTAGCACGGAGCACCTCCCTGAAAACCCCTGCGTAACACGACCGCCCCGGAAGCCCGGGCGTGACCCCGAGAGCGCCATCCGCCGGGGCTCGGAGGACCGCCCGGGGGCTCTCGGGGCTGACCGGGACTCTGGAGGGCCCGACGCCCAAGCTGATGGCGGCAGCGCACACGCAGGGTGCGGGCCACCCGGGTGACCCAGTCTCAGGTCCCCACACTCTCTGGACAGGCACAGGGCACCGGGAGGCCAGTGGGCCGCTGTGGCAGCCGACCCCAGCCCCAGGAGGGCAGCGGCTCCGCCGATTCCCGAGCCTTCCTGCGCGCCTGCTGTTTCTCCAACAGCTGCTGGAGCCTGGCACCGGCCCGGGGTCTGGGGGTCTCCCTGTCGCTTTCGGCGACTCCAGCTCTCCCTCCACCCACTCGGCTGATGCGGCGCGCACCCAGCAGGCAGCCCGTTCTTCCCGCTCGGCGCCTCCCTCCGGGCCCCGGGAGCCGGCCGAGGCTGCCCCGCTCCCCTCCGCGGCTCCTTCCAAGCTGCCTCCCAGAGGCTCTTCCCAGCCCTCTGAACGCTCCTTCCCAACGACGCCCCCTCCCTAGTTCTGGGACCCGGCGTGCCTCTGCCTCCCGGCAACACTGACGACCCACCGTTAAGGTTCTCAGACCGTGGTGGCGCGCGGCTGCCCACCACCCCTCGGAGGCCCCCAGGAGCAGCCGCAGTTCCGGAGACTCTGCTCAAGGGGGGCTCACGACGGAGCGCCTGGGCACCTCAGGGTGTGCGGAGGCCCGTCGCCCTGGACCGGGGGCTGTCCCTGCGAGAACCAGCTGCTGCCTCTGGGCGCTCTGGACACCACCTGAGCACCTGCGGCAGGGCCGGCGGGGGCCTCCGCCACACCCGCTCCTCCCAGGGAGCAGACCTCCACGTCCCCGCTCGGGTGGCTGCGGTCCCAGCAGGGCCGGGGGCACAGGGTCCCTTCCGGCGCCTCCCAGCCAGGCTTCAGGCCTCCGCCTCGTCTTGGCGGCGGCGCCGCGTCCCACACAGCCGGCCTCTCTCCCCCGAGGGAGTCACGGGTTCCTAAGGTCTTTTCCGTGGTGTGACGGGGTTTCCCAGGGGAGCGGCAATTCCCTGGACAGGAACCCCTGCCTCCCTCCTTCCCTCCCAGACGCCAGGTGCTGTTTCGGGAAGGCCCGTGGCAGCAACTGGACCGAGAGCGACAGGGACCCCTCTGAAGGGGTACAGGCCCGGGACCGCAGCTGAACGGCCATGCACGTGGCCGCTGTGCCCGACGGAACAGCCTGGAGCCCCGCAGGCAGCTCCGGCACCGGGCGGGTACGGGTACACGCGAGGCACGCGCGGCCCTCACTGCGCCGGGACCCCACCTGTGCCAGGTCGAGCCTGTCCCCCACCCGCACACCACACGCCGCGCAGACGCCACCACCTCGAGCGTCACGGGTGTCTCGCTGCTTCCAAATTTTACCACGAGTTCTTCATTTTGGGGGAAAAAACCATCTTCCCCCAGGAACACCTGCACTCGGTACACGTCTGCTGTCGCCTCATCAGCGTCCCTGGCTCCAAGCACGGAGGACTCAGGACGCATATCACACACGTAACGTGCCCTGTAATGTGCGCATGTAACGTGTCACATCACAGACACGTGCGCAGAGCGGAGGGACGGCATGTCCTCCATCTCACGGCCTCTCAGGAAAGCACTGGCCCCAGGGGGCCCGACGCGGCTGAGGATGGCTCCCGCCACTGGCAACCTGATGCCACGTCCTCGCACCCCAGCCATGCCCCGGGGGCACCACGGAGGCCGCAGGAGCAGGCGCTGTGGTCACAGCTGCTGACTGGTGCTCTCCGAAGAGATGGGCCAGACGGGAGGCGGAGGACGCAGGACTGGTCCAAAAAAGGTCACTTAAGTTTCAACTTGCCGAAATGCCTGTTTTTGACAGTCACCCCATTCCGGTGGTTTGGGGGTCCAACAAGACGCCCCTCCTGCTCGCAGAGACCCACCTCCCCAGGACCCGTGAGCAGAGCTGTAGGCATGCGCAGGAGGAAGGCTGGGCACTCCCCTCCGTCTGCCCTGGCCCCTCATCTGTGGGAGGGAGGCGTCCACGGCCACATGGCCCTCCTTCACCAGGGCTCACCCGCCTGTCAGCACGGACTCAGGACCACCGGCCTCCAAGAAAGCCCATGGTCACTAGAAGGACATGCTGCTCGCGGGGAGGACGCACAAAGAGGAGCGCGGCAGCTCCAGCTGTCTGCCCATCGGCCTCACGGGGTGTGTAAATCGAGACTGTGAGCTCAAGGTTCCACTGCTCAAGAGTGCAGACCACTAGCACAACCTGGCTGGCCTCTGGGTGCGGGCACTTTCCACACACCTGTCAGACCCGCCTGAAGGGAGAGAGCAAGGAAGGACGTCACCTGCCCAGACAGGACATCCGCCACCACACCCTTTCTGTGCCAGGCTCGTCTTACGGAAAAAACGGAGACACTCAAAGTGTAATTACGTAGCTACTTCACAACACAA